GTGAGATCGAGCTCCATGCTAGGTGTGGAGCCTGCTTAAGGTTCTCTCTCCCCCTCTCCCTGTCCCCCCTTAAAAAATAAATAAAGAGCATGTGTGATTAGGTCAGAACCACCTGGATAATTTCCCTGTTCTGAGGTCAGCTGTGCCATATAACATAACCTAGTAGTGAAAATCATCAAGTTCACAGTCCTGAGGATTATGCAGGGCTTGTATGCCAGGGGAGTGGGAAATACCGAGGGCCAACCTAGAAGTCTGCCTTCCACACCATTCCTTTACTTTTGACCTATCTTTGTCTATATTTAGATCAAGTTTCTTATAGATAGCATATGTAGTCTCTCTCTCTCTCTTTTTTTTAAGACTTTATTTATTTATTTATTTATTTATTTTTTTTTTTTTTAAGACTTTATTTATTTGACAGAGATACAGAGAGAGCACAAGTAGGCAAAGCGGCAGGCAGAAGGAGAGGGAGGAGCAGACTCCCTGATGAGCAGGGACCCTGATGGTGGGGCTCGATCCCAGGACCCTGGGATCATGACCTGGGCCGAAGGCAGGCGCTTAATCGACTGAGTCACCCAGGTGCCCTGTAGTCTCTTTTATTCAGTCTTATAGTCTCTATCTTTTCATTGGGGTATTTGGCCATTTGCATGTATTCAGTGAACAATGGGGTTGAATTAAAATTACTGTCTTTTTGTTGCCTGTTTTTTCCATCTTTTTTCCTTTTCCCTTCTATTTTCCATATTTTTTTAATTGAGAATTTAAATTTCATATGACCTCCGTTGTTGGTTTATTATTTATACTTCCTGTTATCATTTTTTCTAGTAATTGCCTTAGGCTTTACAATACACATCCTTAATGAATCAGTCTCCTTTCAAGTTATATTATACTGCATCACATAGGATGTGAGAACTTCACAATAATATACTCCCAATTCCTCCCCCCATCTTTAGTGCTGTTATAATCGTACTTTTTACTTCTACTTATGTTGTAAGCCTACGCTATATTTTGGACAATTATCTTTAGAGCAGTTTAAAATAAGGAAAAGAATAAGTTATATTTTATATATATAATTTATATAAATTATATATTTATTTTATTTTTTTAAAGATTTTCTTTATTTGACAGAAAGACACAGCGAGAGAGGGAACACAAGCAGGGGGAGTGGGAGAGGGAGAAGCAGGCTTCCCGCTGAGCAGGGAGCCCGATGCAGG